ATTTAACATTACCAATTTCACATGCCATCTCAAAATAAAATTTATCGCATTTCAACCCTAATTTTTACTTCCGAAAAATATTACTCAAACAATTGAAGAAAAATGAGTCAAGGGTCGCGTGCATCCTTTGGGCCGAGAAAGAATTGTCACTACGGCATGGTTGACAGTCAATATATAGCTACAACTCCGGTGAATGCTGGTAGGCGATTCTCAAAATATTCTAAAACTAAGGTAAGATAAATTCCACTCATTGACTTCTTTTTAATTTTACAATTAAAATTATTTTTCCACTTGATTCGAAAGGGTAAACGATGTCAATTTTAAGAATGGGATGAAGATCTGCTAGATCCAACGATTCCTGACCTTATTAGTAGTTTGAAGTGTGAATACGCTCTTAAGCGTGAAAAAATTATTCTACAGATAAAGGTGATTGAACTTGAAAATATATTAGCAGTGGATGTTCATGAGGAAGATGATGATGATGGAGGGATTGAACTGGAGATAGGCATATTCCTGTAAATTGTACAGTTTAAGGGATGGTTAAGATGAATAAAATGACGCTGAATAATTGGGTTATGCTTTTGTGTGTCGTTGTCGGATTTGTGGCAACTTGGATGATAAAGTGAGAAGGAACATTGATTTGTTGTTACGAGGAATAGTTTAATTACTTTAAGTTTGTTTTGTTGGAAGTATTTTGGATCATGTAATGTTGTACTGATATAATGTTAAATTTGTTGAAGTTACTAGACGCCACTTTGAGTCTATTATGCAACCAAATAGCTAGTTTATTAATGGACCCAGTGTCTACTATGCAACCTCTATCTGCCTGATGCAGTGTTATATTTGAAGAAGTTATTATAAGCGACTTCGAGTCTATTACATAACCAAGTAGCTTATTTATTGATGGACCCAATATCTATTACGAAACCAAGTTGCTAGTTTAGTACTAGACACATTGTCTATTATGCAACCTCTAGATGCTTATTGTAATACAAAAAGGAAGTGCTTAGGAAACAAAAATTACACCATCAATAGTTAATCAGCAAAAAGTTAGTTTCATTACATAGAGGTTGATGCAAATATCAATAATTACTACAAGTTCACCCAAAATAATTTTGTTCCGTGACCAACACAAATATAAATTATACTTATAAAACTAAGAAGGGTCCATCCTTCCCCTGAAGATATCCACTGTATTTTTTTCCCTAAACAACTTCATTCGCTTGTCATTAAGTTGCACCAGCGGCGTATCAGTTAGGAGGAAGTCAATGACCTTCACTGCATAGGCTCCACTGCTTTCACTACAATAATCAAAAACAAAATTAGTTATTAAAGAAACCAGAAGAATGAGTAAAATATAATGGATGGCACATTTAATTTACCTTTGCTGAATGGATGGAACATCCATAATACGCTCCCAAGACCATTTTCTCGTAAGCACATCTTGGCCTAAGTCTGTAAACTGTCCAGTTTTCATCAAAATCCTAGGCATCATTAGTGTGAGAGGTTGTACAAATTCTTCTAATTTACCATCATCATACAAAGTGACATTGCTATCGTAAATTCAAATCAAACCCTCTACCAAGTGGAAAACAACAGGTACAAAATACTTGTTATCAATTTTCCATACATATTGCATCACCTTAGCCTTGCACCACTCCACAATCCCTGGTTTTGGTATACTTCCTTGAAAATATAGCATTAGGGGTGTAAAGCACAAGTCTTGGCACACATCAACTGTCTGACAAAAGTCCAAATCCTTTCCCTCTTTACTGGCAGCCTCCTTGACCTTATACCATGTAGTGCACATGTTGTTGCATAATGCAACATCCATAACAACATGGCATAAAGGTGTGGACGTTTTATGTTTCGTACACGCATCAGTGCCAAAATTTCCTCCACATGTTAAATATTATTTAAAAATATACGTTAAATATGGAGCTACTAAAAAAAAATACACGCAATGATTAAGGGACTTACAAAAATTAAAACGGACGGGTTAGCATCGCACAATTGCTAAAAAAGCCTCCAACCATAGCTGCCAGTCAAGAAGTTTTTGGGAAACTTCTCCTTCTTGTCAAACCATTCACATAATACTTTCTTATCTTCCTCCAAAACTGGTTTGAGTACATCTACCTTTGGTTTCTTCTTCTTGATCTGTTTCAGCTTCCTCATCTTGCTTGCAGAAATTGGAGCATTCCTCAATCTGCTTTGCAATCTTGTAACCATGTACCAAGGTGACTCAACTACTTTAGAAGGGCTCTCATTCTGATTGTGCATCTCCCCGAGGATCTTCAACAACTTATCCAATTTGTCATTTAGAACCTTCAACTCTTCGCGCACATCTGTATCACTTGGTTACGCATTGCACATCCTGCATGGTCCTTCTCTATCAATATCAAAAAAATCACCAACTAGTGATGAACCAGGAATACTCCTATAGCTGGTCGATTATAGGATCCGCTACCTCATCATCATATGGTATAAAATTCTTCATGTAGTCCATATTCATCTCACATAGGGTAGGAATAGGGTAATGGTGCACCCCCTAAATATAGCATAGATAGAAGTCAATAGACAAGCAATACAAAAAAATAGACATGAGGTCTATGATAATCTCCTACTTTAGTTCATTCTAATCTACTGGTGGAGTGTTATTGCACTCCCTATCTTACTATACCAGGGTCATTAACTCTCTGCTTAAAGGGATCACAATCAGGGTCAGATGTCACTTTCTTGTTGTGCCATCTCAACATCCTTGGCAGCGGCATCTGTATGACCTTTGATTTCTCGGCACTACGACCAAATAGCGAAATTGCTTTGTACGCCCATGCCTACATTTTTTCATGAACCAAAAAGTATTAATTTTTGTCTGCAGTAAATAAAATAATAGTAGTCAACTGCAAAAAAATTTTGAGAAGTTTTTTTAATACTTACCCTAAATGCCCATGGGAAGCCGAACAGGGCCTAACTAGCTGATTTGGACTTTTTACTAGAGATTTTATTTTACTTCCTTTTGCTCAAATATGATTTGCACATTGGAAACATGTCCTTCTTCAAGTACTCAATTGTAATCTCAAAACACTCTTTGTCCCACAGATATTTCATGAAAACTTCCAAATTGTTATCCATACAAATTCACTTCTTATCGACGCACGATATGTTATCCCTTGCAAGCAAGACTGAATGGACAAACCACACCAACGCAATCTTAAACCTCTCGACTGTGTCAAACCTTTTGGACTTCAACTGTTTCAAAAGCAGCTCTGCTTCCACCCCTTTTCTGCTAGATTGGCAAACTTTGTCTCAGAATGTTTCGCCATCATTCATCATTTTCTTCATTTGTTATTTACTGGGTTTGGCACCACAGTTCAATCCAGTCATCATAGCAAACTCCTTCAATCCAAAGTGAACAGGCTTGTCTTCAATTAAAAACCATAACTCGTGCTTTTTCGCACAATAAATTCGGCGAATAAGCATGGAATGGACAAGCTATCCATTGAACTGTATCTAGTGCTCTGAAAGTTTTGCAAACTCTCCAAAACAACTATTATTAAACTTTTCCATCAATTTGATTGTTCTAAGTTTATCCTTGAACTCATGGAATACATTGATCCTAGACGTCACACTAATCTTGGACGGAAAACGTCTATGCTTTCTTAGAAAAGTCCTGAATTTGTATCTAGATGCGTCGATCGCCCTTACAAACACAGAAATTGACAGAGCATCCTGGTCACCTTCAACGGCTGCATGTGTTTCACTTTCCAGCCATCTTCACCATCTTCAAGTTGTTCATCATCTTCATCATCGTCTTCTTCTTCTACTACATCTTTTTCTTTTTCTTCTTCAACATTTTTATCAACCTCTTGAGCATCATCATCACTATTTTCATCATCCTCCCCACCTAAAGCTTCATCATCAATGTCATTTTCTTCTTCGAGAATTATTTTTTCAGAAACTCTTTCTTCCATTTGAGTTTGTACTACATTTATATCCAAGTCTTCTTCCTCCTCATCATCAACACCCTCTAATGCTAAGCTTCTTGAAATAGATTTTCACTAGCAGGTATGTCCTCGTCAACTAATATATACCTTGATCTTGTTCTTTTTTACCAGTAGACTTTGTTGGCTCTTTGTTCTTTTTTCCTCATATCACGCTTAGAAATCTCAGCATTTTCTTTATTAGGGGAAGCTTTAGAAGTATCTACATTTTATTTCCTGGTAGTAATTTTTTGAAGGCCCAGCATTTGCTTTACTTGGCGATACTTCTTGTGTTTCTGCATTTTCTTTCATGTTTGGAGGCTTTGAAGGCTGTGCAATTGCCTTCGTTGATGAAGGAATATGCTTCTTAGCAATTGATTTCTTCCTCATGTTCCCTACATGCAAATATGCAATGTCATATTTCATAATTAGAAACTTATGATCGGAATAAGAAAAATAAGCCTCAATTCCAGCAAACATCTATGACTAGAAGACAATCGACCACAAGTTCATCAATAAACATTAGGTCGCCAATTACGACGAAATTCTAAAATACAGAACACAGAGGTAGTCCAAGAAACAAATATAACTACCCACGCCATAAATAATATGGTTATACACAACCCAATCGATCTTGAATATGCACATGAACGAATTACTCTACAATATGCGCTATACATAGTAGTATAAAATATTGGGGAGGGAGGGGGAATCGTCGAGACTGCCTGGAGAAGAATGAGGGTTTTAACTTACTGGGGTGCGTTATACTTTAGTGCATGTAATATCGCGTTATATATGACAGTTCAAAATATCGACTATAGAGCATCTATTGTATAACGGGATAACTGACTGTTAAGTTATAGCACAGGTAAAATATATAAAATGGTACTCAAACTCTTTTTCATGTATTTTGGTGTTTTGAGTCCAAAATATCATTATTTAGGTTTCGGAGGCAACGTAGGCCCCGGACTTGGGTCTTACCTCTTTTGCCTCGTAAGTTACGCTTCACAGTATCAAACACCCTGTTTTTCTTTTTTAAGTTCGGCGAACCTTTTATTAGGAAATAGAAAAGCCAAAACACTAGTAATGACTTCGCCTCCTCTATCTCTGGGTTAATCGGTCGCATTAAGGAGCATAATATGCTACGACTCTGCTTCCTCACGTATCGTTCTTGCTCAATTGTCAAAGATCAGTCATGGCAGCTAAGTCCCACCTGCAAAGTGGTGAAAGCTCTTCCAATTGGAAGTCTTCTACTAACATTACTCAACCCAAGTTCTTCAAGATTATATTATCCCAACATGAATGCAGCCGTCTGGTCAGAACTTTCTTCCTCCTTTAATTTCTTCTCATTCTGCTGTTTTTAATCACCGACTGATTCAGATTTTCTTGTTACTGGAACTGTATCCCTCGTTATTAACAGCGGATTTACTGGAACTATATATATATATATATATATATATGTGTGTGTGTGTGTGGGGGGGGGTGTCTAACCTCAAAAAGTAGCTCATGAAGTGAGGATAAGAAGAAAAACCCATTCCCCCAACCAATGTGGAACAATCTATAACATTCGTTGCACACCTAAGGCTAGACATTTGGAGCCTGAACATATAACATGTGGTCCAACATTTGATATACCAAGTATAAGGATGGGTCTTAATCCGATACCATGTAAAAAAGAAGGGACCTTTGGCCTAATTCTTCAAAAGATAGCTCAATATGTGAAAATTGTGGAGGACAACCAATTTATTCTCTCAACATGTGGAACAATCTAACATATGTCGAACCAAATGCTGAGTGCGCGGGCATCTATTGCCAATTATACAGATCTGCCACTGTCTTGATTTCGAGATGTGTGAAACTGAGTGCTTATTTCCTTTGCGCGCAGAGGATTCCAGAAGACTTTGCGAGCAGATATTGCAAGAACATGCTAAACCCTGTGTATCTTGAGGTTCCAAGTGGAGACGTATGGGAGGTTGAAGTGGTTCATTCTCAAGGCCAAATTTGTCTTGGCATTGGATGGCAAGATTTCAGTGACTTCTATTCAATAAGCTGCGGCCACTTTTTGATGTTTGGATACAATGCTCGTTCCCATTTTAATGTCACTATATTTGATTTGAGTGCTTCAGAAATTGAATATCCAACAAAAGAGATTGAGTCGGATGATTCCATAGATATTTCGGATGTGGCTGAGCATTCTGTTGAAAATCTGAGCCATGGTCCCTTAGGCCAGGAGAGAAAAAGAAAAAGACAAGAAGGGGAAGCAGAGGATGATATTCCAGTTAACGTTCAAACTAAAGTAATCGAGGAAGAAGAGTCTCAAGGGAATGTAGTTTCACTAGGTAAGAATGCATCTTATAATCTGGTTTATTAGCTATGAACAGAATGAAATTAGTCATTGTGTTACATTATAATTTGGTAGTAATACTTTCTTTTGGATATCTGTTTCAAGAAAGAAGCGAAGGCTGTAGGGAGCAGGAGCAACAATCCAACATTTTTACCAGTAAGAGCGACGCAGAGAGGGACGAAGAGAGAGCTGAAAACTATCAAAGTGCAAAAGCTTTTAAATCTAAGAACCCATTCATTATATCTTTTATGCATCCATCATATGTCACGAGACCACACAGTCTGGTGATATTTCAAACTTTGTGGAATGCCCGATACCTGATCTGTTTTTATTCATTCCATACATATGCACAACTTTAAACTCAATTTATAATTGATCATTTTTGGCAGTCCATACCGTTGAAATTTGCTCGGAAGTATTTCATGCAGAACCGTGGCAAGTTAGTGCTTCGTGTTCCAGGAAGTGGATTTTGGACTGTCAAATGCACTTTACGAACGAGAAATGCTAAATTTACTTGTGGATGGAAGGCATTCGTCCTGGACAATAAGTTAAAATCTGGTGATGTTTGTGTCCTCGAAGTGATTAAAGACACTAAGCTCTTATTGATAGATGTCACCATATTTCCAGGGGTTTCTGATAGTACAAACGAGTCTATCAACGCTGAGGCTTCAGTTCCATGTTCCCCAGCCTATCAAAGAGCAAAAGCTTTTACGTCTGAAAATCCATTCTTCATATATCCTATGCAGCCATCATATGTTTCTGGCCCCTCATTGGTAGGATACTTACTCTCTGAAGATCTACTGAGCTTTCATCCTTTTATGTCCAAAAAACGCTAATCTGTGACAAAGAATCACTATTAAATGATGAATCTTTTCGTCTAAATGTTAAAGCATTGTTCATTTTGACAGACCATATCACGGGTGATTGCTAGTAAATTTTTCCCCACTAGATATAGCAATGTGGTGCTTCAAGTTCCAAACAAGAGATCATGGGCTTTGAATTGCACTGTTGGAACAAAAAATGGTAGGTTGAATTCAGGTTGGAAGAAGTTTGTGCAGGACAATAACATAAAAGTAGGTGATGTTTGTGTCTTCGAACAGGTTAGTAGAACCAAATTTTTATTCAATGTCTACATATTTCCTGCAGTCGAAGGTGTGTGAGATGGTTCCACTTGTTTAAGATTCTGACTTCAATGTATACTTGATCAATTTGCCTTTTGTATTTCTGCTTTTTGCAAAGGGGAGTATTCCTCCCAACATAAATTAAAGCAATATCTTTCACCCGAAGCATGTAAAACCTTAGAGTTTCTTATTTTGTAATACGTATTAACTTCTTGTATTTTTTTTTTCTAATGACTTCGTGTTTAGTGTTGAGTATATTCTGATTAATGTTATAAGGAGGTAGGCAACACGTATCCCCTCCTTCATGTATTTTGTTTTGGATATTAATGTTCGAAGTAGGGCTCAAACCCTAACCCCCGGGCACCTAGACGTTGATTCTACACTAATTAAAGAACCTTTCTAATGGTTAACTTTGATGATTTCAACATTTTGGATTCTAAAAAAACATATGTATGGTTGACTTGATCCTGAACTGCATTAATGAGGACCAGCAAACACATTTTGGATGTAATACGAAAGATACCTAGTTGTACATAAAGTTTCTTGTTTGTGAAATCTATTCACGGTCACAACTCATGAGGAGAAAGGAGGAGCCGAGTAGGAACATAAATTTATTGGAATGCCAGTGATGTTCCTTGAGCAGTGCAGTGCATATATAGCGCTCATGACTTTTCGTTGTCCCCAACAGACTCAATAAGCTTAAATCTCACAGAACCAAAGATCAAACTCTTTGAAGGAAATAGCAACAGTTCCATAGTTAACTTGTCTCTGCAAGAAAGTGTCCTGATCTGAGATTTTGGACTATTTCCTTTGTAACCGGGGTTTTGATAAATGGATGTCCTCATCTACAGCATGACACATGGAAATATCTAACATTTTTGGTCCTTTACATGAGATAATTCTCAAATAAATTCTTGGTTTCTTTTGTTCATACACTTTTCCACCCATTGTTCTGGGAGCTTCTGTATGCAGATATACTGAGCAAAGACCTAAATTAGCTCAAAGTCGAATATGATTACAGAATCTAGTTTGATTATCTTGGATAAAACTATCACAAGGATTGCTTTTTTGGATTATTACAAGCAGCGGAAACAATCTCAGTATCGAAGTATATTCTAAACAAATAGCACATACACGATTTATTGAGTTACCCCGTGAAGCGTGAACAAAGCTAGTCAATCACATGCCCCTCTAGAAAACGCTAAGTTGAGTTTCGGTTGGAAGGAGTTTGTGCTAGCTAGGTGATGTTTATGTTGCTGAACGGGTTAGTATATCCAGACTATTGTTCAGTTTCATCATATTTTCTGCTGCTGAAAGTTTCTCATCTCTCTTGCTTCAGGTTCCCTTCTCTCCTCATTCTGTATCTTTTTTCTCCCTTCTTTATCTCCGCTTCCTCTTCTATGGATTCTTTTTCTCTGCTTCTTACGGTCTTACTCATTATTATTAGGGGTCTTCAAACTTCAAACCGAACCAGACCAAACCGCACCAAATCGAAAAGTCAAACCAAACCGATTAAAAAATTTCGACTATGTTTGGTTCGATTTGGTTTGGTATTGAGTAATCCGAACCAAACCGACATATAAATATATAATTTTTTATATCAACTTTTATGACTTTATATAGAATTTTGTTTAAAAAATGTCTAGAAATATTTGGGATTCTCTCATGGATCTAATATCTAATAGAACTATGAAGTGCATTCATTTTTATTTACTTTAAATAGTGGATTGTATCACTTCCTTATTAAGTGTTATTGAAATGCATCAATTTTCTCTTTCTTCTTTTATATTCATATGTCAAGATTTCTTATGTATCTTTTTCGAATTTGAAGTGGTATTTCGATAATTTAAAATTACATAGAACATATCATTATTACGGTATCATATTGATTTTTATGTTTACTTATTAAATTCGGTTAACCTTGAAAGCGTATATCAATAAAAAATTATTGTTAGACAACTAAGAAAATAAACTATTATGTGTTACTAAAATAAATTCTCACATAAGAATACTTTAATAGGTCATATGTTTGTTATTTTTTTTTTTCCACTAAACATATTCACTTATCAAAACTTTATCTATAACTTTAATAAAGTAAGATTGAAATAATATTTATGTAACAAAAAAAACTCGAAAAATTCGACAAAACCGAACCAATCCAAACCGATATAATTGGTTTGGTTTGGTTTTGATAAAATTTGAATATATGTATTATTAATGATACAAAAGAAAATTAGTAACCTAACGTTATTATAATTATGCTGGATTTTATTGGAGATCAGAACGACCCCTTAAATTATTTGCTACGCTTCTATCCTTGTTAATATGACTCAGTATCACTTTTCCAAATTTCAACGATTAAAATACTTAGCTATGATGCAAAAAATTTCTAACAATTTCAACTACTATTTTAACTTCTAATCATGTTGCTGCTAATACAATACGCAATACATTAATTTTTCAAAATTGCGTCCAACAATCTCTGATTTTGGTGTCAAATATCGAAGGAAAAATGGGAGGACACTTTACAAATTAATACTCCTATGAGATATGGTGTAAATCATGCTACAAATAATTTGAGTTTGTTAGTGTATTGGTAGAAAGAGTAAAGGCATACTCATTTAAAAACTGATAGATGAATTCTAGGCCACTCCTTTACGTCTGAACCAAGTACGATTCCATTCCAAGGTCTTAAGATTCTCCACAGACCTTATCTCAGAGGAATTGATAGACAACGAGTACAACAACGATACTATGGGTTTAAATTCATCCATGATATTAAACTTATTTTTTGTAACACTAAAGTTATAAAACAAATTTTTATTACAATAAAGTGGATGAATTAACTATTTTTACTTATGGAACTAATTTTTGTAGCAATAAAGTTACTAAATTATGATTAGTTGCCCATAAAATACAAATTATTGGAAAGTTAAATTTCCCGTGCCGGAAAATGACATGCCATCTATATCATCATTTGCCAAGTAAAATTTTCTTATCACAATAACATAAATAATTAAAAATACATAAAAATTAAAAGAAACGAAAAGGAAAACGAGTTGCTGCAAATCATATGTGCAAAGTAAAACTTTTATTTTTTCAACTTCGCGAAAGAAACAAAACTGCTAGGGCCTTCTATTTGCCAGGGTACTATTAAAGCCGCAACCGAAATCTGAGAAGAAATGGCATGGTAGCTGCTTTTTAACGTGGTATTTAGTTTTTATTCAGTATTTTTAATGCTGAGCAAAAATAGTCACTACTCTGTTAAAATTAATATAAAAAAATAATTTTATTCTTTTTTTATGAGTGTTGTGTAAATATTAAGGACATGGTGTTCCTTAACTATTTGCACAATACTCATGAAGTTAAGGACATGATGTCCTAAAGTTTAACAACAAAAGGTGCAAATACATGATACTTTGTCCTTAATATTTACACAACACTCGTGAAATTAAGGACACCATGTCCTTAATATTTACACAATACTCATGAAGTTAAGGACATGATGTCCTAAAGTTTAACAACAAAAGGTGCAAATACATGATACTTTGTCCTTAATATTTACACAACACTCGTGAAATTAAGGACACCATGTCCTTAATATTTACACAATACTCATGAAGTTAAGAATATCATGTCCTTAACATTTACACTGCACATATGAAGTTAAGGATACGATTTCCTAAAGTTTAAAACAGAAGGTGTTAAATTCAGAAATCATTGTCGTTAATATTTACATAACACTCATGAAGTTAAGGACACCATGTCTAGCACAAGGGTATTTTTGTGCGGGCGAGTAAAAGTTTATTAAAGCACTGACTAAAGAGTAAATACATTTTAAACAGTGACTTAAGAGTAAATACAGCTCTAATTAGTGGCTAACTCTGCACTTCCTCAGAAATCTGACGCCATTGGAAAACTCTTAATGGAAAATCTTTAAGATCAAACATGTAACGTTAAGCCCCCGTTTGACCATAAAATTTAGGAGTTTTTTTCAAATTTTATTTTCATTTATCTGTTTATTTATAAATTTTAATCTTTTTTGGCAAATTTTGAAAATAACATTTTCAAATCTCAAAAACAGCTCTAGAGTAGCTTTTGAAGTTTTTTGTTCACAAAATTTCAAATTCTTTTCAAGTAAAATGCACGTCCAAACACAATTTCAACTTTCAAAAACCGTTTTTCATCTCGTCTTCGAAAACTCGAATTTTTAAATTTCAACCAAATTTATGTCCAAATGCTAGCTAAAAAAATTCACAAATCCTCAACTTTTGACATTTTGGAAAATCAAATCGGGCAAAAAATCGCTTCTACGCCTGTAATTATGCGATGAATGTCGTATAAGAGCTATCAAAGCATGCTTCTCGTCAACATCGATAGCCAAGAATCGTTGAAGCGCTTTTTCCTTTTCGTTTTTTTTTAAATTTTTATGCCTTTTTCATTGTTTATGTTAAAAATATAGATTATAAAAGGGTGGATTTTTGTGATAAAAAATTTCTCTTGTGGCATGGACACTGTGGCAGAATGATGATGTGGCGATAATATGTCATTTTCCAGAGCCAAATATTTTATTTTCCAATGATTTGTATTTTTTAGACAATTAACTCATAATGTAGTGACTTATACTATTAATAAAAATTAATTTTGTGACTTTAGCGTTACAGATAGATAGTTTAGTGACTTTACTGTTATAAAAAATAAATTTATAATCTAGTATTACAAAAGTAAATTTTATGATCATTGGTAAAATTAACCCTCCATATTGTGATAGTGAAAATATTCGGACTTGGTGCATATGATAAATCTTCTTATTGAAATAATATACAAATATTATTTCAAATTTTGGAATCAATATGAACTTAAGTATAAATTCTTAAGAATTTTAAAAAAGAATTTACATATGCAAAAAGTATATGAAAAATACAATAAGAAAATATAGTTAATAATTTAAAAAATTAAAAATAAAGTTTTTTTAAAAAAAAAAGAAAAAAAGAAAAAAAAAATACTTACTTCCGAAAGAAAGTCTAATTGTAGTCAAAGACGAGTACTGCCTGAAGTCAATATTGTCCCTCTAGTTTTTGGGAAAAACAGAACCGAAGTCATCTAAAGTGTTTATTGAACCCTGGCCGTTCTCTATCTCAATGTAAAAACTAAAAACACAAACCATTGAAATTTCAAGAGCCATTCTCTTGAGAATTCAACTAAATTTCATGCAATCCAACTTGTATCCGTCCAGTAGAGTTCGTTCTTGTTTCTCATGGAATCCCCATATCCCCTCGCCCAAAATAGCCATAGGCAATAACCTCAACTCCTCTATAAACTTTCAAGAACAAAGGCTAAGTAAAAATATCTGTTCTTTTTCATGGATTCCAGACAAACCCCACATCCCCAAGCCCAAAACAGACATACCCAATAAACCCAAAACCTCCATAACCCCACCAGCTGTTACAAAATCTCTAGAAACTTCATTAAATTTTGGAGAAGAAAAGTTGAATAATAAGCAAGAAATACCCAATGTCCCATATTATCTTCCAATCTTGGTTCGAAACTCAGATAATCTTTGTAGGTATATTTGGGATGGGAATGACTTAAAATTGGTCCCTGTTGATGGGAATGCTTTTACTCTATCTGATTTCTACTGTAATTTTGAAGATACAGTTCAAAAGTTGGTCAGAATTTGTGTTTTGGCTATAAGGAATTTTTTTCTTCCAAGGAAAGTTAGTAGTAATTACCTTGAATACGTGAAGTGGAAGTTTGTTCATCGTGTTTCCAGTTCTGCTCTCCAAGTTTTTGCCACCCAGGTTCATATTTTTTTTTATGTCTCAGCTATTAAAGTTGTAAATTATTGTTATACAGTGAAAAGTCCAAATTTTTTGGTTTTGAATGTTCATATTTCAGCTATTAGACTTGTAAGTTATTGGTACACGTTAAAAAGTTCAAATTTTGATATTGAATCTTCATGTTTCATATTGAATTCGTGAACTGTTGGTACACGTTAAAAAGGTCAAATCTTGACATTGAATCTTCATATTTCAGTGATTGAACTCGTATACTGTTGGTATAAGGCAAAAAGTTCAAATCTTGATAATGATTTCCTATTAAAGTTGTACTATTGGTATACGTAAAGGTGTTAGATTTTGATATTGCATTTCCATATTTCAGCTATTTAACTAGTAAAGTTTTGGTATATGAGTTTAAATTTGGTATTCAATCTTCATATTTCAGATATTGAACTTGTAAATTGTTGTATACAGTGAAAAGTTTCAATTTTTATATTGAATCTTTGTATTCCAGATATCAAACTTGTAATATTATTTGTATACGGTAATAAAGTTTGTATTATGATGTTGAATCTTCATATTTCGACTATTAACTTGTAAATTATTCGTATATGGTAAAAGTTAGATTTTCATACCACTATTCATATGTCAGCTAATAAACTTGTAAAACTTGTGTATTGGTATATGACAAAAAATTTAAACTTTAGTATTAAATTTGGATTCTTCTATCGGAGCTCAGTGATAAGGTCAAGTGACTCTGCTATTAGATCTTTATGTCAGAATTAGTCTTTTAGTAGTTCACTGGTCAATGGTGGAATTTGGCATTATGATCTTTATGAAGGTACACTAGTTCGCTTGATATATGTGTACCTGCACAATCAATAGGTTTTTAAGTGTGTTAGCATCTAAGGTACGGATCACTCACATAACTGCCTTGACAATGGCCTGTATTTTGTGAACGACGATATACAGGCTATGTTGCGGGCAATTGGAATAGGGAACTCCCGTTCACTTCAATCAGCTGTTGCACTAAATTGGGTCCTGAAAGATGGTCTTGGACGGTTGAGCAGGTGCATCTACACTGCTAGCCTAGCCTCTTCTTTTGATACCAATCTTAAGGTATAGCTTTTCTAACAGGAAATAATTTGTGCAACTCATCTTATAAAGCGTATTTTCTGTTTTCTATTGTCAGAATTCATTTCTTATCTTTTGGGAAAAGATGCTTATATTTTAAGCAAGATTACCTCAAGAGACTAGCTGAGTTTCATCTGCATGTTTCTTACTTTTTTTCCCCCTCTTTTTTTGGTGTTGGCTGCAGAGAGTAAGGTTCTATACGTCTGTTCTCTTCAGTTTGAGCATTGGAGTTGAATTGTTGACTCCTGTATTCCCACAATACTTTTTGATGCTTGCATCAATTGCCAACATCGCCAAACAAATAAGCCTTGCCTGTTACCTGGCAACTCTTGTAAGTCTCAGCTTCTAAACATATGATGCTAAATATATATGCATGTGAAGTGTAGCACTTTTGGGATCTGATCCCTAATTCTCCAGCTTTAGCTCCTCGTTAGGTGTACCGTGTAAGCTAGTTTGACCGTAAGCAATACCTTTTCCCTTCTCTTGCCAGCCAGCAGTTTACCATGTTTTAATTCCCTTTATAGTTTCTAACAATTCAACTGCAATTTGACATATAATTGATTTCTTCAAATCTTTGCTACGTGAAGGGCTAAGATTAAGATCTGAAGTTACTTTGACATATTCAGAATAACAGGCTAATAAATGTATGCACTTAAGAGGCCTTAAATTTCTACTAAGGTCCCAAGTCAACTACGGCATTATAAGACTGATGCTACTTAATTTTGTCACTTGGTTGAATTGCTTTCTGAAACTGAACTTGAGGTAATATAACTAGTTGAAGTTTGAGTACTCTAGCCATCTAATCGCTTCCGCAAATGACCAATTCACATTCATAGTTGGTGGAGATCTGAGAGAAGCAATTTGTCTTATGTTAAGCGTTTTTAGCATAATTATAACAGCTAGAAGAGAATTTATGCAATTATAGACCTTGAATTTCTCCTCTAAGAGGCAAGTGAAACATAACATTACTCACTATTAACTGCTTGTCTTTGCCAGTTAATGGGGGGAAATGGATATGTTCAGTAAGTGTAATTTCTTAAATAGCCAAATCACGTGTTAAATTTTGTGATCTGAATAAGCACAAGTATCTTCTGGATTTATCAGTACCATTGAGGTTTGATCGAGAATTTATTGTTGACATGTAACAGACGGCCGTGCATAGAAGCTTTGCAATTGCCGATAATCTTGGTGAGGTTTCTGCAAAAGAACAGGTTCTGTGTATATCTCATTGCGCCATTGCTGGATTTGTGGTGTTATGATTAATATTCCTATTAATTTCACTGTTCCAATCTGACTGTTGGTTTATGTTTCAGATTCAAACAGTGTGCTTCGATAATCTTGGTCTTGCACTTGCTGCAGCCTTAAATATACTATTTGCTAATAATCCAAGGTTCTTTTTCCAACTTGAATTTCTGAACTATCGCCATCCTTTTTTTTTCTCTGTAGATTTCAAATTATTTAGAGATTCTATCCATTTGCTTTTATGAACCTTCCATTTAGCCTATTTTTTTGTGCTTGAAGTGGATCAGTTAATACTGCATGACTCTTATCATTTCCTTTTTACACTGTGATATGAGAAATGAATATTTTGTACTATTTCCGTCCTATATATAAGGTCATATAAGCAAAGAATCGGTTGTCACATTTTTTGTACTTTTTCGGTACTAATTCTTGTTATGTAGATCCCTGACTTCTTGATGATGTAAAAGTTTACAAGCAGGTCTACCATATGTGGTGTACCCAATCTTGTCAGTGCTTGACCTATTTGGTATATATCAAGGACTAAAGCATGTGCATCTGCAAACATTAACTAAGGTTGGCCTTCATTCTCTATTCGCTTTAAGGAGAAGATATATGTGATGTGCTCTTTATTGTGTATATGTTAATCATCTTACTCATGTTGATTCTGATATCCCTCGTTTTTACATTAACGCCAGGATAGGCTTGAGATCATTATAAGCACATGGATTCAACAAGGATTTGTCCCATCACCTGCAGAGGTGAGTAAACGGGAGGGTATTGGCTTATCTTGGAGCAGAGGTAATTTCTAACTTGCATTTTGCTGTAACAAGGCTTCACTGCTAGGGTTGGTGCTACTTTATATTATTCAATAAAGCTTCTTAATCAGCTTTAATCAGGCAGGAAGCCATGGTCTGTCAGCATTGGTTATGTAAATCCTAAACCTTGCACAGCAAAGCTATCTGCGACTACGATGGAATCTTTGACTAATGAAGACTTTTATTTCCTGAGCCCGGAGAGCTTGACTAGTGAATCGAAAAGGAATCAGGAGGTATGGATATCCAAAAAGTAAAAAAGAGTTGTAATCAATGTGTTTGTTAAGCAGTTCTTCTTGCTTTGCTATTACAGTATGATGTCCTACTTTCTCTGCGGGAAGGGGCTGGCACTACAGATGTGATCAGGGGCATATTGCATGTAAGACATTATTACATACGTTTTTTGCTTTCATAGTAATTAATGGCGTATATCAGGTAGTAATGTGGGAGGATGATTTTCCTTTTGCAAATTAACTGAGTGCTGGCAACCCATTGCTTTTACTTCAAATAACATGTCTAGCAATTATTTTTGAGCTTTTCATAATGGTCATTCACCCAATTTTGGTACTTTAATAGTAATAAGTAATTATGGTGATCGACAGGCAAGTTATGTCCGGAAGGATATAGAAGATTGCGGTAGTTCCAGTGCAGTTCTCGAGCAATGGTTTAACCTGGTTGAAGATGGTATGAGATTAACAGAACAAAATATGAGCCTGTTGTATGAGCAAATGCTGTCGTTGGGGTGGGCATGTAAGAATATTCTTTTGAGCAAGCAGGAGCAAGCACACTATATATGGTAAGCAATGTTGTCATTCTTCGGCCTATGGTAGAAGAAAGTGAATAAAAGGTCAAAGAAACTAAGGGCATTTCGTCCTTTCAGAGATTGTCGATCCTTGTGCTTGTATATAATCCATTTTTTTGGCATCCCTCAAATGAAAAGAGTTGCCTTGTACAAGTCTGTTAGCACTGGTGTTCAGTTTCCTGCCTGCAGAGGTGGGGAGAGATGAGGGTTGGAGCAGGGAGGGGGGAAAGAGAAGAGATTTAAGTGTTGTACAATCTTTGAATGGCTTTCTCCGTGTTGTGTATTTAACTGATTAAGGTTAAACTTGTTATCCATAACTTTTTCCTCATTCATCTATTTTTTCCGAGAAGAGAGATCGTTATTGTGATTAGCTGGTAATCTTAAACTGAAACAAGAGTCAGGAGCAACGGGAGACTATGGATTTATGAATGATTGCCTGCATCCTATATACTAGAAACTTGTAAAACTTACAGCTATTTCTTTTTCTTGATCCTTGCAAAGAAATCACCCGAAGCAATGCTTAACCAAAGAGCAAGAACTTTCTTCGTCTGAGCCCCAGAAGGTGAATCGTGATGATACCGAAGAGTTTAAGCTCAGTCAGCAGCTACGGATAGAAATGTTGAGTTTCAGACTAAGGACAGAAGTGGCTGAAACATGTGACAATTTCTCCCCACCGCCATGTTAAATTGTGTACCGTCTCATAACACGCTCTATACAAGCGAGTCAAGTTCTTTTTTCGTGCCAAGCACATTGAAATCTTTTCATGGTGTAGACTATAATTCAAGACCTCTACTTTGATACTACATTGAATTAGAGGCGCCTAATTCAACACAAATATAACTTAAAACACTTTTCTCTGCTCTGGGCCTCTGGCGACTCGAACTTATCGCAACTTGGGACTACGCTTCAGAGGAATGTCATTTTAACTTGATCATTCTAGGACCACTCTACAGTATAGAATATTTGAAAGTAAGATCGAATTATGGGTCGTCATACTTCAAACCTTAGCAAGCTTATATAATAGCTCTATATACAAAGTATAAAGATGCCATTAACAATGGTGGTTGATATCCACTTGTTTGAGTACACCGTCAACCATGCATACAATAAAATTAGTCTAGAGCAGAGTTTTCTGTTCTTCCCTTCAATGGATCCATTCAATGCAACTGTAGTTTCTAAATTCTAACCTGACAACATTTCTTAAGGAAAACAGCATCTTTTTCTTGTTTAAGCAATTCATAATCTTGGTTCACTACTTAATGATTCAAAACTTGATTGGGATGAGAGTGTTGCAGTTAGACAGTTGAAGAGTTCCACCACAATATACCATAAATAATTGTTACACATCTTTTGACTTCTTTCTTTTTGGTTTACCCATCCCATGTCTGGAAGGCGTTGGCTGTTTAATACCTTTACCAGAGCATATTTCTCATCACAGCAAGCGATACAGCATTAGCATAAGCATGAGCTAAAAAAATTCAGAATCATCGGCCATCATTTGTTTCGTAGCAACCCAGATGTGGATAGAAGCCGTAATGCTTGATTGGAATTGTTCAAAACAGCTGATGATCTTGACACCTGCATCTTGCGTTTCTTTAAGAATTCCAGTGAGCTCTCTAAGCACGGAGGAGGTGGTAGATCCTTCAAGATAACTGGTCCAGACCTGACCAAACAACAAGAATACAGCGAGTAATTAAAAATAGTTTATCAAAATTATATTAATTAAAGCATAAGAGAAGTGCATGATGCTCACCCAGAGCTCTTGGATCTTTTCTTTTTAGAGGTAGGCTTCTTCTCATGATCTTCTTCTTCTGAGTCTGACGAGAAGATTTTCCTGCATAACAAGTGAGTAACCTTTTTCAAGAACTGAGAAGTATGTGAAGAATATAATAGCCAAGGATACACTAAGAAATGCAACTAACTTCTCACGAGCTGCAAGGATTTTCACAATCTCATCAGGTAGCATTCCTCCATTGTCCTTTGACCCCTCGGCATTCTCAGGTTCTTTTATGTCTTCAATGCTTTCATCATTTCGAGTAGGTCGTGGAGTTAACTTTTGAGCCCATTGTCTACGACGTTCCTTACCTTCTCGAACAACTCTACAACAGAGCAGTCATTTCACAGCAAAAGATACAAAGACCATCAGTTGCTCATGTTTTGCAATTAAAGGCTATAATTCCAAGGCAAGAATATCAAATTGAACATATGGAATTTCCCACGAACACCCACCATATGAAGAAAAATTACAAGCAAATTTTACTAGTTTTCAGGACTTAAATAATGGGTCATCCCCAATGTTATGATATAACAGTCTCAAAGGACCATAAGCACAAGTGAGGTGCCATTGACACAATAGATATGCAAGGAATGGCAAATAGAAGAACTTTCATATTTCCTTGAAGCTAATACTAACTTTAAATCTTATTATTTTTTTGAGAACCTAGAAATCCCCAAGGCGAGTGGCTCACAATTTGAAACGATGGATAATAGGCCCGCCCTTCTATCCTTGTCAACTTAAACACCAATTACTATGCTTTTGTCTACAGCAGAGTTCGAACCTCAGACGTGCATGCTTTTGTCTACGACGGAGTTTGAACCTCGAACATGCACCTAACTCACATGTCATGCATTCTGCCCTTAATACTGGACCGAAAGGAGGGGGG